TTTGTTCTCTATTTTACCATTAGTGTCCATCACATACATCATCATCTAAGCTTCACTGAACATAGTGCAGAGTTCAGCCCAGAGGCGAGTGAGACCACTCTTGACACTGCATGGCACCACTTGTAATTGTTGTACAAACTGTTCTCAAAATTTCTAAAAAGGCCAGACTTCAACTATCGAATGCTGGCCCTCAGGCAGAATCATAACTTTCCACAGACTGTATATCTTCAGCATCAGCAGATTGGGCTTAGTGTGTATGTTAAGTGGGTTGGTCTCACTATACAACTCATCCTCCAGACATACAACAGTGTTCTACTGTCACTCAAGACTGTCAGTACAGTGAATGTGATGCCAAAATGTAAGCATCATAATTTTACTGTCTTGCTTCCTTTGTCTTGTCAATGATGCCTTGTGTTTTGTTCGTGCATCAAAATAGTCCCAATCTGATATGACACTGCGTGTACTTTTATTACTATACATTATATCTGATTAAATTTGATTGATGTAAACTTAACCTATTCTTAATATTGTACTTAGAGAAACCAGCTTAAGTCTTTCTTTCTTTCAACACATCGGCCGTATCCCACCGAGGCGGGGTGGCCCAAAAGGAAAAACAAAGGTTTCTCCTTTTACATTTAGTAATATATACAGGAGAAGGGGTTACTAGCCCCTTGCTCCCGGCATTTTAGTTGCCTCTTACAACACGCATGGCGTACGGAGGAAGAATTCTGTTCCACTTCCCCATGGAGATAAGAGGAAATAAGCAAGAACAAGAACTAGAAAGAAAATAAAAGAAAACCCAGAGGGGTATGTATATATACGCTTGTACATGTATGTGTAGTGTGACCTAAGTGTAAGTAGAAGTAGCAAGATGTACCTGAAATCTTGCATGTTCATGAGACAGAAAAAAAGGACACCAGCAATCCTACCATCATGTAAAACAATCACAGGCTTTCGTTTTACACTCACTTGGCAGGACGGTAGTACCTCCCTGGGCGGTTGCTGTCTACCAACCTACTACCTAGGACCAGCTTAAGTATATACAATAAAAAGAAGCGATGCATAAGTACAGGTTGCCGTGGACATTATTGTTTGTTTTGTAATAATCACTGTGACATTCATCAGTTGAACATTGTTATCACTTCAAATCCATTCTTCATGTATGAATTTTCATTCCTTATTCTGCAAGAAAAAATTAATAATTATCCAGTATAATTTAATCAAACACAAAGCAGATAAATATTACTACAGTCATGAGGAAGTGCTGAACTCACAGGGGTAGTACTTAGGAATGGGAAGTAATCTAGTTTGATCTGAAGAAGAGAAGACTAGCTCTACTTCATTGGATTCAGAACCCTTCAGCAGCATCAAGACACTCCCCATGAAGAATGTGGATAATGTGGGCTACTGTTTAATAGGGTATAAATTAAGGCATTATCAACCTCTAAAACAGTATGATGACAAAGGAGAAGAATGCTGTGTTATCACCATAGGGAAACACTAAACCTGTATGAGTCATGGTGGTACGGAGACACACGCACATAACACAGAGGATGTGTTCCTCTGAGAATCGATGCATTATAGAAATCAGCAGTATGTGAAGTGAAAAACATATGGAAAAAAGTGTAATGTTCCAAAGATCTTTAAATTAACCAAACAACTTTTTATTTTTTTATGTAAGAATGTAAGAAAGGAAGAGCACTGCAGCAGGCCTACTGGCCCATGCTAGAGAGGCCCAACTCACATCCACACCTTATCTACCTATCCAAGCTATTTCTAAAGCTACCCAAAATTCTTGCTTCAATGATGCTGCTTGGCAGTTTGCTCCACTCATTCACAAATCTATATTACAAAACCAATGCTCTGATACATCCTTTCTAAACCAAAATTTGTCCAACTTGAACCCACTGTTGTAAATCCTGTCTTGGTTAGATATTTTCAGCACACTGTTTATATCCCCTTTATTTGTTCTTGTTTTCCGTTTGTACACTTCAATCATGTAACCCCCCCCCCCCCTTCCTCCTAATTCCATGCTTTCAAGAGAGTGCAAATTACAACAGTTTATCTTACCTTATATAATGGTTATCCTTGTGTGCTGACATGGCAGTGTGGTGAGACTGATGTGGCTCTACTGAGCTGAGCTGTCATTCTTGTGTTGATGTGTATACAAAGGTGTCAGCAGCTGATGGTTGTACTAGTGTTGAAGAATGATACTTTGTGCAACATTTGGGAATCTTTGATGTGGAAACATTTCACCAGCCAGTGGCTTTTTCAGTCCAATACTGAGAAGAACGGTAGAAGAAGAGGAGGAGTTTGAGGTAATCAGTCCTCAGCCTAGAGTCTGTGTGTTCAGTCCATCAGTCTTGAAAAATGTAAAGCAAATGTGTGGAGAAGTCACTTTTATATTGCAGTAAGACGAGTTGAAGCAGATGGTGAAATCACCAGTGGAAGAATCCACTAGTGTAAGTAGGTCATACCTATATGTTAGGCAAGTGTTGAAGTACTTCCTTTGTCAAGATCCCAAGATGCTGCATCTGACAGATGTGATGTAAATGGTCTACAAAACCAACAAGTTGTCGGTTTTTTAGACCATCTACATCACATGTACTAGCGTTCTTGAGATGGAAAATGAAAGTTCAGCTCCTTTTCTTCCTCCTGATACTCTTCACTTTATATCTGGGAGAGATTCACTAAATAAGAGGCAAAAGTGGTCATTCTGAACAGCTGGTTAATCTGAGTAGGATATGTGAAAATAAAACCATCACTGCCATTTCTTATGCTTTTACTACTGCTTATTTTGCTTTTATTCCTATCATCATTTGTCTTCTTTTTAATAAAGTGTGTAATGAGCTTATCATTGATTATGCCAGTTATTATTTCAACTCGACCATAATTTTTTTTAAGACTAGAGAGAGATGTTTGTATATGTACATACAGGCCATATTAAGATATGCAGCACCAGTATGGAACCCACACTTGATCAAGCATGTCAAGAAAGTGGACAAAGTACCAAGGTTTGCAACAAGACTAGTCCCAAAGCTAACGGGTATGTGCTGTGAGAGGAGAGATTAACAGAGCTAAATCTGATGACATAAGAGGAAAGGACTACTGACATAATGACTGATATAATGCAGTTTAGTGAGACCACAATATTTTAAAAACAAAAGCTTTATCACAAGTCTCTTATAACAAAATTTGTGCTGTAATGCAAGTATAGTGAGCCTACAATACTTTGAGAGGGTTTATCATCAGTCTTTCACAACAAAATTCAATCATCATTCATAATGAGCCAAAAGAATAAAGCTGTAATATGTAATAATAATATTTTATATTTTATTAACACACTGGCCGATTCCCACCAAGGCAGGGTGGCCTGAAAAGGAAAAACTTTCACCATCATTCACTCCATCACTGTCTTGCCAGAAGGGTGCTTTACACTACAGTTAATAATAATGTGAACATTAAAATACAGGTCGACCATCACTAATCCGGCAATCAGTTATCCGGTTTCATCAGTAATCCAGCACTAATTTCAGCTAGCATAATTTCAAATTTCATCATTATACTGACTTAGAAATTGTGCAGATGGTTGTAAATCCACAGCAGCAAGCCAGTGGAGAAAGCAGTGATGAAAATGAGGAAGATGTAGCAGAAAGAGTCTCTACTGATAAGTTAATTAAGTGTATTCTAACCTAACCACTCTGTAATCTCGCAAAGTCACTAATCAGGCACACTACAGGTCCCAATGATGCCGGATTAGTGATAGCCGACTTGTAGTCTGCAAGTGACAATATGCCAGGAAAATATTTCTCAAGGCTGAGGCTGTCATATTACTTTTATTAACACAGTACAGGAGGGCCCTGCTTATACAGCAGGTTAGGTTCCGGGCTACTGCTACATAGCCTTTTTTTACTTTCAAATGCACATAAGAGCCTGATAACATGTTTACACTATCATATACTAAGTAATAGACCTAGGCCTAAAAAATGCATATACAGTACACACATTACTTAACTGACTCACGAAATAGTTACGACACGATTGCAAACAAACCATACCAAATATTTTTGTTCTTAACTTATAATGAGTGGTGAATATATTTATTGTAAGAAGTTTGAATAAATGAAGAATGGGTATAACTGAAAACTGCTGCATTAGCAAAATGCTGTAAAGCAAAGCACTGTAAAGTGGGGCCCTCCTGTACTGGTGTTTAAAAGCTGTATTACAGGTAACTTGTACTCTTGATCATTAATATTATACAGTATGTATTAAAACAAAAGCATCCAAGCCTATATATCCCTGATAATGGTAAAGTATGTTGGCTTACAGTACCTATACTGGTGGCTGAGGTGGTCCTTGACCAACTCACCCACATCATCATAAAAGGTTCAGGTGTTGTATGTTGACTGTAAAGTATAGTCTCACCCTTATATGCCTTCTGTTAATCTTTTATTTTAATTGTTGCTTGATAATGTGAGAAATCACAATAGCACTTGGAAGTTCGCTATTCATTTCACAGTGGTTGTTCTGCATGACTCATGAAATCATAATGACACGATTGCAAACAATCCATACCACGGGCAGGGATAGAACCTACAATCAGAGAGTCATAAAACTCCAGACATACGCGCTAGCCACTGGGCCAGCTGGCTACAATAAGATTCGTCCAACTAGGGTGTTGTGCATATTATGATATCACCTGTTTATTGTGATCTTATTACATATATGTACATATACAGTACTAAACTTGAAATAGAATGTTATAATTAATGTTTTTTACATAAATTCTTTTGATATTAAATTTTTGTTATTTTTACATTTAAAAACAATCTGCATTAATTCGAAAAAACTAAAGTACAGTGGAACCTCAGTTTTCATCATTAATTAATTCCAGAAAGTTTGACGAAAACCAAATTCGACGAAAACTGAAGCAATATTCCCCATAAGAAACAATGTAAATCCAATTAATCTGTTCCAGACACCCAAAAGTATTAACAAAAAATACATTTATAGAGAATAACTAAAGTTTTACATACAGAAAACAATGAGAAATTAATATAAAGGACAAATGAAATGGATAAATGAACATTTAATATCACTTTTACCTTATTGAAGACTCTTGCTGGCATATGGAAGACGCAAGGAGGGGAGAGGGAGGAGGAAAGGTTATTGGTTGGAAGGGAAATCCCCCTCCATAAGGACTTCAGGTATCAAGTCCCTATCCAGGGTTACTTCCCTTCTTTGTCTTTTATTGGCACTGGACCCCTGTCGCACAAAAAATCTGTCCACAGAGGTCTGTTTCTGGCGTCTCTCTAAGATTTGCCTAAAATAGGACAAGGCATTGTCATTGAACAGGTTGCAGACACGGTTTGCAACAACTTTGTTAGGGTGATATTTCTCTACAAAACTTTGTAACTCACTCCACTTTGCACATATGTCCTTAACCACTGAAGAAGACACATTCTCCCCTCTCTCTTCCTCCTCCTACTCTGAAGCAATTTCCTCAGCTGCAATCTGTTGCTGTTCCAGCTGAAGGTGTTGCAGCTCTTCAGTGGTATGCTCTTCCCTGTGATCGTCCACCAACTCTTTCACATCCTGGCCACTCACATCCAACCCCATGGACTTTCCCAAAGCCACAATAGATTCCACAACAGACATAGGGTTGTCAGGGTCAGCCTCAAACCTTTCAAAGCTCTTCTCTTGGATACATTCTGGCCACAATTTTCTCCAAGCAGATTTCATCATCCTGGAAGTCACTTCCTGCCAAGCCTTATCTATAAGGCTTATGCAATTGAGGGTATTGAAGTGATTCCTCCAGAACTCTCTTAGGGTCAATTCAGTGTCTGAGGTCACTTCAAAGCACCTTTGAAACATTGATTTGGTGTAGAGTTTTTTGAAGTTTGAAATCACCTGCTGGTCCATGGGCTGGATGAGAGGAGTGGTATTAGGGGCCAGGAGCTTCACTGTGATGAAACTAAACTCCTCCAACAATTGGTCTTCCAGGTCTGGAGGATGAGGAGGAGCACTGTCCATTACCAGGAGGCACTTGAGTGGCAATTTATTTTCCAGGAGGTATTTCTTCATATTCAGGCCAAACACTTCATTGACCCACTCAATGAAAATTTGCCTCGTGACCCATGCCTTATTGTTAGCCTTCCACATCGCACACAATTTACTCTTCATGACATTGTTTTTCTTGAACACTTGGGGATTTTCTGAGTGATACACCAGTAAAGGCTTCGCTCTGAAATCCCCACTAGCATTACCACAGAACAAAAGAGTTAGCCTATCCTTCATAGGCTTGTGTCCTGGCAGTGCCTTTTCCTCCTCAGTGATGTAGGTCCTCTTTGGCATTTTCTTCCAAAAGAGGCCTGTTTCATCACAGCTGAAGACTTGTTGGGGGAGGAATCTTCAGCCTCTACGTACCCCTTGAATTCATCAACGAATTCTTTGGCCACACGTTTGTCCAAACTTGCAGCCTCGCCATGCCTTAACACGCTGTGTATGCCAGTTCGCTTCATGAATTTGTCAAACCAGCTTCTGCTGGCCTTAAATTCACTAACAGCAGCAATAAATCCAGGCTTTCTTTACGAGATCCTCATGCAACTGCCTTGCCTTTTCACAAATTATCGCCTCCACAACACTATCCCACTAAATGTTTTTCATTGATCCACACCAACAATAATTTTTCAACATCTTTGATTGTTTGAGATCTTTGCTTCATTAGCACATTTACCCCTTTCACAACATCACATTCCTTGATTCCTTTTTCTTTGCCAGGATGGAACTGATCATTGATGAGGACTTCCTGTACATCTTGGCGAGATCGACCACACGTACGCCACTTTCATACTTTGCTACGAGTTCTTTCTTGAATTCTATCCTGTTTCTTGCCTTCTTTATCAAATGGCTGGCACTCGGAACTTTCTTTGGCCCCATGGTGGCTTATTTAGCAGTCTCACTCAATAAACAAGTACAAAAAACAGTGGATTATTACGAAATGTTTCGTATGAACGCACAGGGTAATGTTCACTCGACGAGAAACAAAGCAAGACTGACTCAGAATGCGTGGGATGCTTTGTGTGTGTGTGCGGGCAGGTGGACACGTTCAGTATGGAGAGACGAAAACCGAGGTGACAAACGAAAAATGGGACAAAATATTGACAAAAAAAGTCATTGAAAACTGAATTCAACGAAAACCAGGGCATACGAAAACAGAGGTACCGAGGTTCCACTGTACTATACTGTTTTATCCATCTTCTGTGGGTAAATGTGATCCTGTCTGATGACGTAAGAAATGCTACATCAAGTTAAAAACAACTTTCAGAATGTGGATTATGTACAGTAACATGATGAAGAATGAGACACTTGTCCACTGGACTGAACACATCAACTCCAGGCTGAGGGACTGATTACCTCAAAATTCCTCATCATCTTCCACCATTCTTCTTTGTACTGGACTGAAGAAGTCAGTGGCTGGCAAAACGTTTCCTCAGTAAAGATTCCCAAGTGCCACCCAAGTGTCTCATTCTTCAACTTGTCTGTTTTCTAAACCATTTACATCACATTATGTAACATAACTTGGGAGGGGAGACTTTAACACACCCTTTTCTTTCCATGAAATACAAAACCTTGTCTTATACTTTTCAGTGCCAGATCTTGTGACTTTTGAAAACTAGAAAATTTTAGAATTTGTTTTGTGGCATAACATGCCTTGTGAATTTTGTTTTATGCCCACCTCTTGTACACTGTTTTTGTAAGATTAAGTTTTTTGAACTGTAGTATTGGCATACCTCTGGCCTCTGGCAAGACAGTTATGGCATGAGTGATGATGAAAGTGGTTTCTTTTTTTTTTAGTCATCCTGCCTCAGTGGGAAATGGTCAATGTGCTAAAAAAAAAAAAAAAGTTTTATAAGATAAATGTTAATACACATTTTATGACTTGCTGTCTGACACCTGCTATGTTCATTTGTTTACTCTGTTTTAAAAAACTGCCGCGTTAGACAATAGCCATGTGACTGCTGTTTGTATGACAGTTATTTGCACTGTTTGTTGGCCAATTAGCAAGGATTCATGAGCTATTTGTGGCTAAGACTATTAAGCTCTATCCTTTGATCACTGCAAGGATCATCATTCAGGACTTTGCCCCTTCATACAATTCCTCTGTTGCCCAGCTATGGAGGAATCATAGGAGTGCAGAATGCTGATGGCACAAACTGTGCACTCCGGAATCATGGTCTGATTATATAGAAACCCATAGATCAGTTGTGACCAGGTATCAGTTTATAAAGTGGAATACTACAGGAAAATAACTGAATCTTGTTATGGAAATAAGGAGCTCCTTTCTCTTCATCTTGGCTGTATATCTGAACCTGCTTTACCTGTCTCTGATTATGCTTTTCTGCTGACCTCAGCCTTTTCTGATTATTTTGGATAGAAAAATATAATATTTGTGTGGAAATGGATTCATCTCAAGCTGGTGCAGAGTATTCAGTGTTTGTTTTAGATTATAATGTCACAGATTTCCTTGTCTTAGTTTGCTCTAGTTGGTTAGGCGAGTGCAAATAGGAAGTGTGTATGTCTGGCACTCAGCAGATGGAAGATCAAGCCTCACCACATCTTGCAGTGAATGACCCACATGGGTTTAACACTTAACATGAATTATTGATTCATTATTTATTCCAGTTGGCAAGGAGGGAGTTGTATAGTATATCACAGCATCTAATAAGACATACTGTCCATTAGACCCCATAAATACTTCAAAGATCTTGACAGCATACAAAACTGTTGCCCCTCTATAACTCTATTGATCAATCATTATTTTCAAAGCAGATGTTTCTCACAGTCAATGAATGGGGACTTAGTTCTCTCACTCCTCAAGAAAAATTTAATTAATTCAGAAAATATATCAAACTATCATCCTGTTTCTAATCTTACGTTCGTTTCTAAATTGAGTGAACGTGCTATTTTTTTATCAGTTCCTTTCCTGGAGAGTGAGGTAATGTTTTACTGTGTGTTCAGTCTGCACATAGACTATTTCATTCAACGGATATGAGTATAATATTCTCTCATCAAACCTGTGTACTCTAATGACCTCTGAGATCTCCCCTTACAAAATTATTCACTGACTTGCGTACAGCCTCTCCTCACTTAATGACGTACTCGTTTACCGACGCATCAAGACTTACAACGGGCTTTCTGACCAGTATTCATAGCTAAATAATGTATATTAGAGCAGATTTTCTCTATTCTGTTTACGTATTTCAGTATATAGTACACTACTGTATAAACATATAAAATATACCAGAAATGTTAAAAATGGTGCAAAGGTGACATTAAAACAATATCAAAGATGGTTGACACAAACGCACTACCATTATAATAGTATGCTCCTCACTTTGCAATGAATTTGTTTAACAACATGGTCTCAGGAACGGAACTCCATCGTTAAGTGAGGAGAGGCCATATGTATTTAGCCCTTGAAGGAGATTCCCTTAGTGTACTACGCCTAAGTTGTTACTGAACGCTTGTTTAGAAAATGCAACGGCGATGATTTTGTTGAACCTCTCTGCTGTATTTGATACCAATGATCATGCATTACTGAAAAGTGATCTTTTAAGTTGTGGTCTTAAGGATACTGCTGTATCGCTTTTGAAATGACATCTTTTTGTTCAGTCATATCAAGCAGTAATTAATGATTATGTATCTAAGCCTTTACCCTAAGGCATTCATCAATGCTCTGTTCTTGGACTGGCATTGTTTACTGTTATGCTGTGACTTAACCATACTGCTGGATGCCCATTTTTATGCTGACAATATACGGGTCTACATCCAGGTTTTGAATAAGGAAAATGCAAAACTCTGTTTTAGTTCTCTTCTGCTCAATATTCAGACTTGGATGACAAATAGAAAATTGAGACTAAATGATGGTAAAATAGAGATTCTGATTGTCAGGGGAAACCTCAGGAAAATGCAGACTGGAGATTTTGATGCCCCTGATTGTAGTAGAGTCAGTTTGCAGCCTGCAGGATCAGTGAGGGATCTGAGTGTCTACCTGGAGTCTTTATTGTCATTTGTTGAACACACCAACCAAACTGTTGTATAAAGGTGCTCCTCAGCTTATGATGGTGCAAAAGCAATTACTTTGGAGATGAAACTCAAGATAATTACCCAGCATAAAGGCAGCAAGTCTGTAACTTGTATTCATTTATTTACTTTTCAGTCCTGGTATTTATATAGTTACAGTAATTTGTTTATTTACTTTTTCAGTAACAGCAGTTATTTTTTTATTTATTTAGCATATCACATTCGACTTATGACATTTTCAACTTACGATGGGTCCATCAGAAAGTAACCCCATCGTAAGTCAAGGAGTACCTGTACTGACATTTTCACATTCATAATCTCTATGCTGTTAGAAAATCTCTTGACATGCCGAGCATCTTTGTCCTTGTTATGAGGCTATAGGACTAAATATGTATTTATGTACAGTGTGTTTATTTTACTTTTTTAATTTGTTTTTTGCCTTAATATATGATAGTGTAAACATGTTATCAGATATTTTAAACACTGTCTATGAAGAAAAAATGCTCTTTTCCACCCATCAGTGATTTTTGCTTACCGTAGAGGGTAGAGAACCTAAGGGCCATACAAATGGGGCCCTCCTGTATAGTAGTATATATAAGAGAAGGAATGACTATTTTGTATATTGAATAAATTTAAACTTGTGAATAGTAGGGGGGGGGGGAGGTTGTCTACAAGCTGATTGACTGATTATTCTAATGGCAGAATTTTGTTGTGCAATGAGAGGTTTGAGGTAATGAAATTTTTTAGGCTTGTTCTCAGGCAGTTTGTAGAATGTCTTGTCTACACTGAGTGTGAGTTTGTTTGTAGTCACTCAAGTGGATATCTTCATGAATGGCAATAACTGGTTTTGTATTGGCTCGTGCTCGAATAACCTCACTGGGCGACCCTAAACAAAAACTAGTATTGTACGTTCATTACTTGTGCTTGAGTCCCTGGTGCATGTGTACTGCTTTCATATTTATTTGGTATGTTAACCCTTTGCTGTTTCAATTGTATATGTTTTACAAGACAGTGCTTTTGAAGTATTAATATGCCAAAATTCTAGCGGCTTCAAATCAAGTGAGAGAAAGCTGGTAGGCCCACATGTGAGAGAATGGGTCTGTGTGGTCAGTGTGCGCAGTATAAAAAAAAATTCTGCAGCACGCAGTACATGAGAAAAAAAAATCCGTGTTTTTTGGATTAAAATGCCAACTTTGATGTGTATTTTCGTATAGTATTTATGGCTGCATTCTCACTTTCTTGGTCTCTTGTGATAGACTGGAAGACATTTTACAGAAATAGAGATGATTTTGATTAGTTTCACGATGAAAAGGACCTTGAAATTGAGCTCAAATTAGTGGACATGTTCGATTTTTGCCGATGTTCAAGAGTAAACAAATGGTGCCGCTGTCCAACATGTGTCCAACTAGCCATTCTAATACACAGTCACAAATGGGTTGACATTATTTATACAATTATTATAATAATGCAGTAGTCTGCATAACAGTAAATCTTCTATTTTTTGTGAGAATAAAAATTTAAAATAGAAAGCAAGAGTAATATAAGAGGGGCCTGAAGACGTGACTAATGAACAGAGAAAATGTTATTTTAGTGCCAGGAATGTCTGCATTGTTTATTCTGGACCCTATTTTAAAATTGGCATTTTTTTTTAATTTGCATGAAATTGGCCAAATTGCCAATTTCTGACCACTTTATTGGGTAGTTGAAATTGGTAAGTGAATGGTTTCTTGTGCTCAATTGATAGAACAAATGGAGTTCTAAAGAAACAGCTGTAAGTCTAGCTGACTGGATCAATGGAATTGGCTGAAAATAGGGCTCAAATTGAGCGAAATCGCAGATGCGTATATATCGCCGAGATCACTAACTTCAAGAGAGCATAATTCCGTAAGTTTTCCATAAAATTTCGTACTTTTGGTGTCATTATCATCGGGAAAAGATTATCTATCATTTCATATGAAAAAAAATAACTTTTTTTTAATATTCTGTGACACAGACACTTTAGGATTTGGGGTTGCAACAGTCAAAGGGTTAAGCTTCTTCAGGAATGTAGTTAAGATACAGAGAGAGTGTTTGTTGAGAAATATTTTGTAATATGCTGGAGGGAGGGAAGGAGTATAGAGGAAGCAAATGTGTTCAGTTATCTGGGTGGGGACTTGTTGGCAAGTGGTTCTACAAGAGATGAAGTGAACCATAGAACTGATGAAGGAAAACAGATGGGTGGTGCATTGAAGCATCTGTGGATATAGTACAGTGGTACCCTGAGCTCTGTACTGCTCCCATACAGTTACAAAAGCACTGTATGTGCTTTTGTAACTGTATTTTTGGGGTTCTGAAATGAACTAATCTATTTACATTATTCCTTATAGGAACAAATTCATTCGGCAATGGCACTCAAACAGCCTTCTGGAGCGAATTATGTACAAAACTAGGGGTACCACTGTATAGAACTTAACCCATAAACGGTCCAAGCAGATCTACGTTCACATGTGTAGTGCTACAAAAGTAGATCTACGTTTTTTTTACATATTTTCAAATATAACAAAAAAAAAAGAGTAGATCAAAGTTTTTTTTACACATTTTCAAATGTAAAAAAACAAAAAGAAGATCTACTTTTTTTACATACTTTCAAATGTTGAAAAAACGTATATATACGTTTGGACCGTTAACGGATTAATCCATGGAGGCAAAAAGGGAAATGTATTAAAATATAGTGGTATCAACACTGGTGTATGAGTGTGAAGCTTGGGTTTTGAATGCTGCAGTGAGGAGAAGGTTGAAGACAGTAGAGATGTTGTGTTATTCAGAGGGATGAGAAGGGGTTGCTGAGGTGGTTCGGACATTTAGAGAGGAAGAAGCAAAGTAGGATGACTAGGAGGGCATATAAGTCTGGGGTGGAGGGAAGGAGGGGCAGAGGTCATTCTAGGAAAGGTTGGAGGGAGGGGGTGAGAGGAGGTTTTGAGTGCTAGGGACTTAGACACCCAACATGCTTGAGTGAACATGTTATTTAGTAGTGTAGGCAAGTATTATTTTATGATCTGTCATATTGGAGTGTGAACAAGGTAACATTCATGAAGGGATTTAGGTAAACCAGTTGGACTTGAGTCCTAAAGGTGGGAAGTACAGTGCCTGCACTCTGAAGGAGGGGTGGGGATGTTGCAATTTGGAGGGGTCATCTGATCAGTGCTCTTCTGATAAGACAGTGACTGAACAAGTGACAGTGAAGCGTTTTCTTTGTCAGGTCACCCTGCCTCGGTTGGAGACGGCCAGTGTTAAAAAAATTCACCGACTGTACAAGAGGTTTGCATGAATCATGTCTAAGTCATTATGTAAGAATTACCAACACAGTACATCCCTGGATATTTTGACAAGCCAGGCTAAGATCAGCAGTCACTGGAAGAGTATGACAGTCAAGTGCAACTACCACCTTTATCCTTAACAAAACTGTGAACAGTACGAGAATTTCATTCTTTCATTTCAAATATCACTGACTTTTCTCTCACTGACAAGAATAAACACACAAGTTTGGAAAGTACTCTACTGAGTGAGCATTCTTCCACATCCCTCTCACTCACTCTTGTTCCGACCTGCGTGAACAGACATATGGGACAGAAGATTACTTTTTCGATAAAACAGTTTCCCACACTCCTCACACTCAAACTTCTTCTTGCCAGTATGAAGGATTTTATGTCTGAGGAGGCTGCTTGTCATGGTGAAGACCTTTCCACATTCTTCACATTCATACTTTTCACTGGAATGAACTGCCATGTGATTGTTGAGGCTACCTTTCTGAGTGAAAAGTTTCCCACAGATTTCACACTCATGCCTTTTCTCACCTGAGTGAATGAGTATGTGCTTACTGAGATTACTCTTATGTATAAACATTCTCCCACATATCTGACACTCATACTTCCTCTCACCAGAGTGCACCGGCATGTGGGTGTTGAGGCTACTTTTCCGAGCAAATAATTTCCCACAAATCTCACATTCATAGTTCTTCTCACCTGTATGAATAGAAACATGCAAACTGAGACTTACTTTCTGAGTGAACAAATTTCCACATATTTCACATTCATATTTCTCACCAGTGTGAACATGCATGTGACCCTTCAAGCCACTCTTGCGAGCATACACCTTGCCACAGACCTCACATACAAAGTTCTTCTCCCTCGTATGCACAAGTGTGTGTGTTCTGAGGTTGCTTTTTTGAGTGAACATTTTGCCACATATCTCACATTCATGTTTTTTTTCTGCATTGTGCACTGGAGTGTGGGCATCAAGCTGACTCAGCAGATTAAACACTTTCCCACACTGCTGACACTTAAAATTTTCCTTATTTTTGTGGAAAATTTTGTGCAAAGAGAGATCCTCTTTTCTAGAGAATGACTTCCCACACTCTTCACAATCTAACTTGTCATTCCCACGGAGAAAGTGGGTAAGGATGTGAGTGTTAAGATGGCTTTTTCGAAGAAACATTTTGCCGCATTCCTCGCATTTGAATTTTCTCTCCTGTGTGTGAGTAAGTCGGTGTTTGTTACGGGTGCTCAGATGAGTGAACTGTTTCCCACACTCCTCACAGTGGAACTTTTTCTCACCTGTGTGAATAGGCATATGAGCGATAAGATTAACCTTCTGAGAAAACAGATTGCCACACTCTTGACATTCAAACTTCTTATCACCCGTATGAATGTGCATATGAGTTACCAGATTGCTCTTTCTGCTAAATAGATTGTGACAAACCTCACACTCGAACTTCTTCTCGCCCGTGTGAACCAACAGGTGGCTTTTTCCATGACTCTTTTTAGAAAACACTTTTCCACATTCCTTGCATTCATATTTTTTCTCCTGGGTATGAACAAGCATATCCATGTTCTAACTGAATGAACTTCACTCACTAGACCTTGAATAAAACAAGCA